ACAAGTAAAAGAAATTTTTTGCAGCGTAAGTTCATATCATATGAAAAATAGAGCACATGTTGGCGATAATTCTCAGAAGCAGAAAAGAAGACTAGTAACAGAGCGCAAAGTGGATACACATAATCTTGTAAATGGGGTAAAAAAAACCTTTTACCAGTAAAACTCATAATAGCAATGAAAAGACGAAAAGTATAATTAATGAATCATGACATGAATCACGGATCAACAAGTAAAGAAGATGATTTTCAGTAGAAATCAGCAGCACGGCAACGACTTTCCTGCGATCCACCACTATGTCTGTGGAGATAGGTATGATGTTACAATAATAGAAGATCTCAATTTGTTCTTAGCTGGAGTTGCTGATGGTCGTTTTGGAAGAGCGGCAGCTAAAGAGCTGATCTTCAGAGTCAATTGAAACTGTTTCGCCTTATAAGAAAACAAAGCTACAAGAAAACCGTAAAGTATATGGAAGCTACCTTGGAAGGGCGACTGAACGTAAATGTTGCGAGGAGGGTAACATATCAAGCTTGTTTGACTCCGACCAACCACCTGGTGACAGTCTCTCCATGGACGATGCTGACGGAGCAGCCGAACCGGAACAAAGGTTCTGCTGTAAGCAACCTTCTAGCTAGTTCCAAAAGTAGCTACAAGTTTCGAACGGCAACAACTTACTAACCTCTTTCAGCAGCTTTCATTGCAGCCTTTCCTTTATATCTGTTAGCGTTTAGCTGTGGCGTTAGTGATTTTTGACTGAGCTGTTCTCGAGATATTTCAGCATCTGACAAAATGGCTAAATCGTCAAAATCGATAGAAATAACTGAAATTTGCAAATGTATTAGGTTGAACACTAAGTTTTGCAACTTTTCTCATAACTTCCCTCTCACTCAACATGGCGCACTCAAAATTTGCCACTGTGTTGATTAGTACGTAAGCTACAAGCGCAGCTGCTGTCCTACCAAATTCTGACGTCGCAGTGAGGGTTACGGTAGTTGTATGGTATAAAGGGGAAAAATTCAAAGTTTGACGGATTTGGCTGAAACTTGGCATAGGAGTGTTATCCGACATGCTGATCACGAAAACGATATGAAATTCCGTGATAAGGGCTTTTTTGTAAGATTACTGTAGGTGTACGATATGGGGTCTCACCCTAAACAAGGAAAATGGCGTTGATTCAACGAATGAATATGATATTCGCGTTCGGCAGGTTAAATAACCTTACTATGTGAAGTCTCGGAGAAATTTGAGCTTCGGACTCTTTAGTCATTGACGGTCGTCCCCAGCAGCTCTTGCGTACATCGGCTCGTTCGACTTTGTGAGGACGCCAAATCTCGACATGCCCCTGAATTTTGTTTCTTTCTGACTGGGCCAAAGGAGTCAACCTCCACCAATAATTTGTAGATGAATCCGGATTACTGCGCATGGTCTAGGCTGCTAAAGGCCTCGTTTTAGCTAGAAACCCCAAAAATTCTCAAATTTCACTAGTTTTCGAAAAATGCCTGAAACTTTTCTATTTCGTATTCAAAATTCAGACAATTTGTGCTCGCTTGTAGCTCACATTGCATTCTACATGATGCCAAAGTTTGAGTGCGCCAAGTTGAATGAGAGTGAAGTTATGAAACAAGTTGCAAAACTTAGTGTTCAACCTAATAATATACCTCAAGGTAAAAAATGAGCGAAGATTTCCTCAAACCTTCTCTTAGCACAACATGCATCAGAGATTGACATTCAATTGCGAGTGAACATATCTGTGGAGTCTAAGGGAAAAGAAATTACAAAATAGCCAATTAACCGTGAATGAGAGCGTGCTTCTCAAAGGAATGTGCACGTCAGCCGCAATGCAAAATGAAGTTGTATCAATTTCTCCCCATACCAATAAAGCGGAATCATCAATGCCCACAAATAAAGTAAATATTACGATGGCAACATAATTTTCGGAAGTTTGCTGATAGCCTAACAGGCGCAGGACTTGGTGCAGCAACAAGACTCAAAGCCTTGCTGTTCAGTCCGATTTCATGCCTAAATACATCCACTTTCCAGCATCCGCTAGTTGCTCATGCTTGCACGTGTCAGTGTTGCCTAGACTCATTATACTAACGCAAAAGATAGACACAATTCTATCTGAACATCTGAAAGATGCTAATCATTCAATAAACTTGGGACTGTCTAAACAAGCTATCAGAACCTAATCAACGAGCTGGTTCTTAAATTTGACAAAATTGATGTGTGAATTCTCTCAAGTAATACCTACTTTACCTCGTCTGAATCGCCTGAGTAGATAAGCATGAGCTTATTAGAGATCAATGATAGAAGATATGTTTGTCCTTAGCTGGAGTTACTGATGGTCGTTTTGAAGGAGCGGCAGCTAACGCAAGGCAGCCGGCTGCCGGTGGCTGGAGGTCTCTGTAAGAGATTGGCTATGTTTGGCCAACCAACCTCCTTCTCGAGCAGCTGTTGTAGCTAACTGCATACCAAACCTGCATTCCTTCGAAAGGCTCGTGCTCGAGCTTGAAATGTAGAGTACCATATTTGGAATTCGTCCGAGTAACGTACACGAGATTTGCTCGTATATATGGCGAGAACATATATTCGAGGACTAAAATGGTTCCAATCAAATTTCCAGCTTCTTCAGTCACAAGTATGTGGATTGGACCTACTCAATGATTTTTTCTTCAATTTTAAACATCCCAGTCACTTGATCGCTGCAAAACCCTTGCTTTGCGGGGCTATGGTACATATTTTTTCCGTTCAGAGCGCGTTTCCCATGGGAATGTGCACGTCGGCCACATGCAAACTAAATGGAGTTGCATCAATTTCTCCCCATATCAACAAAGCGGAATCATCAATGCCTGCGAATAGAGTGGTATTAGAATGGCAACATAAATTCCGGAAGTTTGTTGATAGTCTACCGAGCGCAAGTCTTACAAGGAAACGATACTCGGTGTCCGTGGCTTTTTGAGATGAGTTGTACACCATTACACTCGCCTTGGAACGCTGATTCCGAATCTGGCTTCCGTTTCTGCTAATCACCAAAGATATTGTAAAGGATTGTGCGGGGGTTGGCTGTCCACTGAAATACGTTCAAAGCGGCGGCAGGTGCGGTGTGGTCTAGTGGTTAGCGCGATAGGCTCATGAGGTGATGCAGGTGTAGGTTCGAATCACAAATGAATTTGAACCTACACCTGTATCAAGTTATGAGGCTATCACACTCATCACTAGACAATAACATGGAGGCGGTAGAGGCCGTTCTGGTGACCATACCCTTGGGCGGATAAAGTTGGCTCGACATCCCTCCATAACTTCCTTCAGAGAAACGATTAGCAGAAACGGAAGTCGGATTCGGAATCAGCGTTCGAAGGCGAGTGTAATGGTATACAACTCATCTCAAAAAGCCACGGACACCGAGTACCGTTCCCCTGTTAGCGTAGCAACAAGACCTGGAGTTTAGTTCAGTCTGATCTTATGCCCTAATACAGCAACTTTTCCAGCATCATTCGCACGTTGCTCATGCGTGCACGTGCCACTGCTGCCTAGAACCACTATACTAACACATAAGATAGAAACTCAACTCTATCTGAACATCTGAAAGATACTAATCATTCAGGAAAAAAATTTGGGACTATCTAAACAAGCTGGGATCAAAACCTAATCATCGAGCTAGTTCGAATCACGTTTGACCAAATGATTAAGTATGAAACAGCTCAAGTGACAGCCTAGTTCACCTCGGACGTTTGATCTTGACACCCGTGGGAAACCGGCGGCTGTTTTATTGTTGACCATTTGATTCCTCCGCTCTTGTTCAGTGCACTCTTCTGCCATAAGAAATGCACCTTCCAGTGGAACATAACGAAATTCCAAGCAGTATAAGCCCGACTGTTCGTCTCTTAATGGTTCTCTGAAACAAGCATTCGAAATAGAAACCAGCATTCTATACATTCAAGTATAGCGTTGTCAACGTCCGCCTCGTAATTGATGGCAAACTGTACATCAGCATATGCTGAAAGTGCGTCTTTTTTGTTTGGTTTAAACAGAAAATCGATTTTTATGGAAACCAATTAGTGAAAATAAGTCACCTTCTCAGCTTGTGTTTCTTCTCGGCTTTATCAACTCATTTTTTTACACGTTCCTTCGCCAACTCCACTGCAATAACTCTTCGCGACTACAGCTAACTCTTGTCGAAGGCTTATGCTCTGAGTGAACATGTTCAAGTAAACAACCATAGAGATTTCATTTGATTCTGACCTCGGTTATCTTCGAATCCCACTCAAAGCTTTTAATGATGCTCTAATAGAGTGGCCAAATAAGCAAAAGTTTCGATATTGTAAAATCATGTGATTCGCGAACATCTCTGCAGAGGACTTAACTTTTCGTCTTCTGAGAATTCAGTTGGTATGGTGTCGGTAACACCCAAACTTCATAATTATACAATGACCTGCAATAAGCTGTATTTGGAGGAAAAGTAGATGAATATTTAAAACCTAGAATCGCTTCGTCTTCTCTGCTCGAAATGTCTTCTTTAATCAATACAGAGTCTACAAATGATTGTGAACAAATATTCGTGAATGTACATCACGGGTCTTGGGTACATGCTGCTCTATAGACGAACAATCTCGTTGTATACAACGTTCCTGATCGTAGGAACCATTGGGACCCCATCCGCCCAATTCCGAGTGACTTTTATGCCACTGCTACTGGTACATCTCGATAACGCCACGTACGTACTGTCATGCGCAAATGAAGGAGTGCGCAAAATGACGCCTACTCTGTCAAATGTTTGTCCTTGACCCTTGTTAATCGTCATACAGAAGGCAAGCCGCACCAGAAACTGGAACCTGCGGAAGGAAATTCCAGTTCTTTCATTTGTGTAATCGAGTCGCATTTTGTGCACGAAAACAGGTTGGCCGTTGATCAAATTCTTGCAGATAAGAAGCCTTTATCAGTTGTGATAGAATTCAGTATGAGCCTCGTCCCGTTGCACAGTTGTGACGATACATCCGTGTTCCTTAGCAGCACAAGTATTGCGCCAGGCTTGACGCGCAAAATGTGGGTGGTAACGCCGCCGGCATGAGCTTGTGAAAGTACTCTTCGTTGTCGCATGGAAGACCATCCAAACCGTCTTCCTCCACAGATGGTGTATCGATTCCAATTAGTTCAACGGTTTCGCCAGGAAGTTTTGCCAAGACTTTGATATTGCGTTCTTCTGCATCACAATTCCGCACCGTCAATAACGCAGCTTTCGCAAGCGCAGACGAATCATGCAACAGTTCAGACGTGTAAATCCAGTTGATGATTTCGTTCTCAGAGCTCATACACATACAACGCGGGATCACAAGATCCCCATCTTCATGTGAATTCCCACCAACGCCTACAGAGAGAAGCCATCATGCGTATCCTATCTCATTATTACATAAACGTAGATTTTGATGAAGAGTGAAGGTGAATGATGAATTTCTCCCAAAGCTGACTACTTCTGCATGCAACATCTATAGTTTCTTGACGTGTACCGCCGTGTATAAGGGGCAGAAACTGTCACCAGTCACCTCCCAAAACAATAGTGACACCACCAAAGGGAGTATGCCTGAGCGATGGTGCAGCGACGTCGCGTAAAAGCCTCTCTACGCACTCCAGAGCAAAGCGAGACTGCATGGAAATCTCATCCCAGACGATAACATCCACAGAGTGCAACATCTGACCGGTAGGCGATGATGGCTCAACGTTAGCAATTGAAGAACTGTTGAGCTGTTTGATGGAAAGGCAAAAAAGACTATGCGCTGTTTTTCCATGTTTTGGCAGCGTTGCCGCTATTCCTGTCGACGCTGTTGGTAGTACTCGTTTGCCATTGGCTTCCAGGTGGGCAATCAGCGCATTGTATGAGTTTTACCACATCCGGCTTTTCCATCGATGTAGTAGAGCTTCTTACCGACTTCTCTGAGAAGTGCAGCCGCTGCCACGTTTACAATGCGTTCTTGTTCAGCTGTCAAGGGATGTGCGGTGTTGCCTGCAGGCGTTGCAATGTTTACGGAAGGTGGAGTTCTGAGCTCTGTCGAAATCCTTTGTCTTCGAATGTTCGCCTCTATTTTCACAGGATTCATTAGTCATGGTTGTAATTAGTATGGTCTTATAGTGTTTGCTTTCCTCTATCCAAAGATGTATAGCATGCCCTATTTGGTGCTTGCATCGAAGCAAAATGTTTGTGTGAAAGCAATGTCCGAGGACTTTCTTACCAACCTAACATACAGTGACCGCCAAAAAGTTGCGGACAAGCCGTCTTCCTTTTTCATCGCTCATTTTCGGATGGAAAACAAAGATGGAGAATGATGATTGCATGAGGTGATAGAGCTCTTCAAGAGCTACAACCCACACATTGCGCTTTCTGGAAAATGTTTATTATAAAAACTTTTAAAATCTTTTCCTAAAAAAAGTCCGAAAATGGCCGCGCTACAATGTCGCGGACATTAATTCTTCGAACGCGAATTTCTTTTAGGTCTTTTCTTGAAGCAAAAACAGAAGTTTTCCAAACAGGTAAGCATGCTATGTTATAGAGCTCATCAAGGACAATAATCAGATAGTAATTACTTCCAAAGATCCAAAAAAACTCAAGCTTAATTTTTATCTTGCTTTTTCTCGAAAAATGACTTCTAATAACTTTTTTCAAGCCAAATTTGTTCGCATGGGAACCTTTTCAAGATATCCCAACAAAGCTAGTTGGATAAAACAGATGCCTTTTGACATATTCTATGCATCCGACTGCTGTCGAGTTTCTTTGCTGAAAATGGCTCTTGACAGTGAGTGCACATGACCCCACCTGCATCTCACCACTGTCTTGCACCACTTTGCGGGCCTGTAGCTCGGCCGCCAGTTCATCTACGAGCCTGCAAGTAGGCTCATTCGAAAGTGAATTCATCGACACGATGGTATGCAAACGAATTGAGTTTGGGAAATAACGGAGATTTGGCGGATGGGGTGATAAAGCGCAGCTTCAGTTGTAGGTTGAGGATTTTTAAGTCAAAGTTGAGCAAAGCTCCTTTCGCCACCGGTGCCATCCTGGAAGTTTAAAAACGTTAATTTTCTTGCAGTAGACCCATTTCGGAGCTCCAAGACTGTTCTGATGTTGATAAGAGCCTTCACTCCAATCGCCTCTAAGGCTGCGCTTTATCACCCCATCCGCCAAACCTCCGTTTCTTCCCAAACTCAATTCGTTTGCATACCGTCGTGTCGAGGAATTTACGCTCTTTCGAATGAGCCTACCTGCAGGCTCGCAGAGTGACTGCCGGCCGAGCTGCAGGCCTGCAAAGTGGTGCAAGTCAGTGGTGAGATGCAGGTGGGGTCATGTGCACTCACTGTCAAGAGCCATTTTCAGCAAAGAAACTCGATAGCACACGTCGGATGCATAGAAGATTTCAAAAGGCATCCATTTTATCCAACTAGCTTTGTTGGGATATCTTGAAAAGGTTTCCATACGAAGAAATTTGGCTCAAAAAGGGGAATTAGAAGTTATTTTTGAAAAAAAGCAAAATAAAATTTAAGCTTGAGTTTTTTTGGAAGTAATTACTACCCGATTGTTGTACTCGATGAGCTACAACATAGTTTGCTTACCTGTTTGGAAAACTTCTATTTTTGCTTCAAGAAAAGACCTAAAAGTTTTTTCGCGTTCGAAGAATTAATGTCCGCGACATTGTAGCGCGGCCATTTTCGGGCTTTTTTTAGGAAAAGATTTTAAAAGTTTTTATAATAAACATTTTCCAGAAAGCGCAATGTGCGGGTTGTAACTCTTGAAGAGCTCTATCACCTCATGCAATCCAATCATTCTCCATCTTTGTTTTCCATCCGAAAATGAGCTATGAAAAAAAGAAGGCGGCTTGTCCGCAACTTTTTGGCGGTCACTGTATATACGTCGCCCGCAGAAAAACTGTTGTATCCATGACCAGACTGTCTCTCAAAATTCACAAAAACAGCAACTGTTCAATTGCTATCTCGCACAGAAGTTATAAAACATTGACAAAGAAACTAAGTTTCTCTACTTCACATTGCTTTATACATTTTTTTTATTTTTGGAACCACTATACTGTTAGTAGCAAACTCTCAACATACACGATGTGAATGGGATTTCCATGCAGGTTGAAGCAGTTTCAACCAAGAAATCAGTGGTAAGTTTCTTGCTTCTGTGGACCTTCATTAAAAACTTGGTTAGGAAAGTACCTAGCTAGATTGTATCTAAAAATAAGTTTAAACTTATAAAGTTATATGAAAAGCCCTTATCATAGCATTAGTCTTCATGCTCATTCTTGCTTACGTGGAAGTATTGATTAGGTATCATTTATGCATGTTTACTGATCAGGTTGAAGTTCAGAAACATATCCCAATTATATCTATACGTCGTCCGTAGGAAAACTGTTGTATCCGTAACCAAACTGTCTCTCAAATTCCGCAAAACAGCGACAGTTCACTCGCTATCTCGCACAGAAGTTATAAAGCATTAATAAAAATAAGTAAGTCTCTCTAATTCAAATTGCTTACATTTTTTTATTTTCAAAACCACTATACTGTTAGTTGCAAGCTCTCAAAATACACGATGGGATTTTTATGCAGGTGGAAGCAGTATCAGCTGAGAAATCAGTGGTGAGTTTGTTGCTTCTGTGGATCTTCATGAAGACTTGGTTAGGAAGGTAGTTAGCTAGATTGTATCCAAGTTTGAACTTATAAAGTTACTAGCTTGCACACCCGGCTCCGCTCGGCCCTGTCAATACACTGTAATAAAGGTCCCATCCCTATGCCTGTACAGCCTTTCCCTGTGCTCACTTCTACACTTCTTTTCCCGTTCCCTGTGTTGTTTTCGTATGCCCACTTACCTTCCTGTGCCAACTCCCAGCCCCGTAGGTGAACCCTGCAAAAAATCGATAAAATCGATAAAAGTAATCGATAATTCTGAAAACTAATATTGTATTCGTATCAGCATGCTCGATTACCCCCTGTGCAAACTCCCAGCCCCGTAGGTGAACTCTGCAAAGAAAATCGATATAAATCGATAAAATCGATATCGATCGATGACGAAGCCTATGACACCCGCCCCGCCCCGCAGTGTGCTTTGGTCCGGATCGGTTCAGAAATGGAATTTTCTATCCGGAACATACGTACAGACAGACAGACAGACATACAGACAGACAGACAAACAGATATTCTTAGATAGACAGATAGCTTTATATATAAGATATGGAAGTATTGTTTTTTTTTCAAAATTGTATTAGGTTGATGCATAATTTCTGCACCAAAATAGGTATAGACCGCAATAACTCGCAATAATCTTATATCCCAAGTAGGATTCGATATATCATTAGGCGGAGCAAACCTAGCTCTACAAGATATTGCCTAAAGTTTTGCAGCAGCTTTGATCCACGCGAAGATTGAAGCCAAAAACCAAAAAGATCCAAGCGCCCCAAAAAACCAAGAAAAAATTGGAAGTCAGTTCAGAAAATCCTTCAAAATTTCTAACTTGCTCATGCATTGTCATTTCGTATAAGACATTTCTCTATGCAGTTGCTGTATTTTCCTCTCAGTTAGAAATTGAGAAAACGAAGTTTTTCACGTTTTTTCCAAAACAATGCTGAGATGTTCTAGCACTGACAATTGTATACTATAGGACCTTAGAAGCGTAAGTGTGAATTTTCAGCTTTTTACAGCAGCTGGTTTACGAGAAATATCGAATTTTTGGCAACTATTCAAAAAAAATTCGAATGAAGAGAGCTAGATTCGTCATTTCTCGTGAACTAGCTGTTCTAGAAAGCTGAAAATGTAAAGTTTCACTGATAATGGCATGTACTATACAACCTTTAGTGCTAGAACATTCAGCACTAATTTGGCAAAAACATAAAAAAATTCGTTTTCTCATCGTCTAGCTGAGAAAAAAATACAGAAACCGCATAGATAGATGTGTCTTACGTGGAATTTCTACGCGTGAGCAAGAAAGAAATTTTGTAAAAGCTTTTTGAACGAGGTTGCAATTCTTTTAAAATTGCTTTTAAGATTTTCGGACGCATGGTTTTTTTTCGCTTTTCGACTCAAAACTTCGCGTGGATCAAAGCTGGTGTGGATATTCGAGCACTATCTTGTAGAGCTAGGTTTGCCCTATCTAACGATATATCGAATCCTACTTGGGATATAGGATTACTCCGAGTTATTGCGGTCTGTACCTATTTTGGTGCAGGAGTTGTGCATCAACCTAATATTATAAAAAAAAAGTTATGATTAGGTTACCTATCTGCGGGGGTAATAGAATGAGCAAGATATTTAATGCAACAAGCTATCGTAAAAATCTGTGTGATAGCATTAAAGACCAGCTAAAAATCATTTGCTGTTTCATAGGCAAGCAATTCTTTATCACTTAAACGCTTTTATGATGAAGGTGAAGATAAAAAGTATTGTGGAGCTTACATTCTGTTGTGCTAATGCTGGAATATTAGGCTTGTAAATTGCTTTTTAATGAATATTTATTTTTAGATTCTGCTACTGATAGTATGGGAGAGTATGAGATTTTATTAGGTTGAACACTAAGTTTTGCATCTAGTCTCATAACTTTCCTCTCACTCAACATGGCGCACTCAAATTTTGCCACTGCATTGGTTATTAGGTAAGCTACAAGCTCAGCTGCTGTACTACCAAATTCGGACGTCGCAGTGAGGGTTACGGTAGGT